AATGGTTTATTTGAAATATTTAAGTCGCTGGAGGTTTTAAAATAAGCGAGATTTAATATAAATTGATGCAAAAAAAAAATTATGACAAATATTTTTTAGATGCTTGTGCAAGGTTGCCAATTGCAGTCCTGGGTGTGGGTGTTCTAACTCAAGGTAAAAAAGGGTTGATTTAACCCTTGCTGTGGGGAAAGGGGTGAGAGGGTAGGGGAGGGGAAGAGAGAGGGGGGGAATTTCTGAGAGGAGGAGGGGGGAGGTGTCACATCAGAGTCAAGTTCATAGACAACTTTTTCATGCTCACTTTCGAAAACTGAAAACCTTTAACTTCAACGACACCCTGCTAGAGAGGTTTTGAAAATAGACTTTACAAATGTAGTTTTGAAATCACTTTTAAAGGATACACATTTTAAAAATCAATTTTTTAGGTGCATTTCAAATATTCACAAAATGTTAGTTTCTTTTATAATTCTAATCATCTATCGTGCATTAAAGTGTGTCCTTTGAAACCCTTATCTGATTGAAATTGTGGCAGATGTTGTAATTGTTCGAGGCTTAAAAGAGCTTAGTTCGATTCCTTCAAGTTTTCCTGCAGTAGAAATGCGCAATTCCCTTTTGGAAAGAATCCACAGTAAAATAATGAGTTTTCAAAATGATAAACATTGATATATCATTCAGACAAAGCTTTTAAAGGCACCACTGTGATTCCGACATTGCCATCTAATTGTATTGAGAGTCAAATGTAATTATGCTTACAGTCCCTTTAAGAAAAATATTTTTTGCAGAAACGGGACCTCGATAAACCAAACCAGTGTAGCAAACCTGAGGTATAAATATATACATATACATAATTTATCAAGAAACAGAAACTCATTAATGGTTCCGTTAATTGCGTAATTAACCCTAATTAGTCTCTAATTAAATTATATTAATTAGAAGAAGAGAGTTGAAGAACGGACTTCCTAAAGTTCTATATGGACCTGAGCAGAGGTAATAAAACACTGGGGGGAACTGTTAAAGGGTCAGTTTACGTAATTTTAAGTGAACTTAAACTTTTAAAAGGCTTTCAACAATTTAACAGTTCAACCTTATCCCAGCTAGCTGTGACTTTCGAGATATGCGTTTGCAATGAATCAAAAGATTAGTAAAGACAAGAAAGTTTAAAGATTTTCGAAATGTGAAAACAGTTTTAAAAAAGTATGTTTGGTATAAAGAAAACATGTTTTTAATAGTTTGTTTCAAAAAAATAGTCAGTTTAAACAACACTTGTTTGAAAAATAGTATGTTTTTGAAAAAAATAACGTTTTTGAGAAAAGTATGTTTATGAAAAAGTATGTTTATGAAAAACTATGTTTATAAAAAAGTATATTAAGTGTTGAACCAGCTGTGAAATATTCAGTTTCAACTCCTGATTTAAAAGTAGGCACTAAGGAGCCGATGGACCAGGTATTTATGTTAAAAAAATTAAGTCTTTGCCACAAACTCAAATTTTCTAATCCCTATACGGTTTGAAAATTGCAACTCGATGTCGTAGTCCTTAGATATTTCAAACTATGAATTATGCTGGATAGGATAACCTATAAAGTTTGAAATCTCAAAGGTCTAAACCACCAAGTTGCAAAGACACAGGGCGTAGACAATTTTGAGTTACAGGCAAAGACTCAATTTCTTTATTCTATTAATAAACAGAATAAAGAAGTTCTGTTCAATATTGAACAGATTTTTGAATTTGATGTTACATTAGAACTTATTAGAAGTTTGACAGAAGACGACACACCCTCCGTTTACTTCTGGTATATCTATATAAATAAAGTTGTAATCTCGGGTTCTCTGTTTGTTCCTGAGATCATAACTCATGAAAAAAATATCATTTTAGTAAAATCTTTTGGAAAATTCGTCTGTTTAGTAAAAAAAAACTATCTTTTTCGCAAAATCGTTTGTTTTGAAAGACTATTGTTTTTACATTTCTTTGAACGATCCCAGTCGTTTGTCCATTGTTCGTTTTTTTTACAACACCATTAGTTCGCGAAAAATTTTATTCAGTCTCGAAAATTTAGTTCTTTCAGAACTTCTCAGAGCTTAATAAAGTCTGCTTATACCAAATGGCTGATGGATCAGTTCCAAAAACTTATCAAATCCAGAGTTTTAAATTTTTATCTTCAGGTTTCTCAGATAATTATCTATTTAGGCGGAAGTATGTAGAAGCCTATCACAAACCCACTTTCCCGTTGAACAACCAGTGCCCAGTAAACCTTCAGGTATAGGTCAAAGATGGATAATTGGATAGGTGGATACAAGGATAGATGGATACAAGGATAGGGGGATACAAGGATAGATATGGATACATGCATAGGTGGATACAAGGATATGTGGATACAAGGATTGATGGATACAAGGATTGGTGAATACAAGGATAGGTGGATGCAAGGATAGGTGGATACAAGGATAGGTGGATACAAGGATAGATGGATACAAAGCTAGGTGGATACAAGGATAGATGGATACAAGGATAGATGGATACAAGGATAGAAGGATAAAAGGATAGGTGGATACAAGGATATTTGGATACAAGGATTGATGGATACAAGGATTGGTGAATACAAGGATAGGTGGATGCAAGGATAGGTGGATGCATGCATAGGTGGATACAAGGATATGTGGATACAAGGATAGGTGGATACAAGGATTGGTGGATACAAGCATAGGTGATACAAGGATATGTGGATACAAGAATCATAGGTGGATACAAGCATTGATGGATTCAAGAGTTCAGGTGATAACAAGGTTAGGTGGATACAAGCATTATTTAGGTTCAGTTAAGATATACAAAACTTTTTATAGAGCATTTATAATTGGGTTGGTCGATATACCTACTTTTTCATTTGCAACCTATAGGGGCAGTTGGGAAACTTGGTCAAAAACATTTTAAAAATCACAATTATGAAGTAAAACCAGAAATTTGTTTTTCTTAATAAAATGTCAATGTCAAATGATCCGTATACAAAAACTTAATTCAGAAAATGATGTTAAAAAATCCTAAAAAGGATGTTTAAAATCTGAAATTGCAGAAAGGTCTATTATGTAAATCACCTAAATGTGCCAAAATATTTCCATGGTTACCCACAAATGATCAGACTTTAAAGACGATATAACGGAAATAATATTGGCTGTTTCCTTAAATGCAGGGCACTCTGCACCCGTAAACTAAATTCTTTCTTTTGTAAATCATAATCCATTAAAAGACCATATTCAAGAGAGAAGACGACATGAAAGTCATCATATTTTAAGATTTTCAAGTCGTCTTCACAGTATAATCCTTTGAGCGAAAATATATGCATTCAGTATTTCCAAATTAGACCAATTTGAACAAAAAAAATGTCATAGTTTCAACAAAGTTTTCTTAATTTCAATATTATCCACAATTAGAGTTAGGTCTTTTTTTTCCTATAAACATTTCATATTCCTAGAATCACTGCTAAGCGTACCAGGACTTTCAGTAAAGAACCATCTAAGCTTGGACGTCAGGTAACACACACCATGCAGGGAATAGGAATAAAGTGAAAGGAAATGGCGCTGGTCTGGCATGAAAATGCTAGTCGCACTGATTTGCAGACGAGTTCGGTATTCCTTTCGCACACTCTTTTGGTACAGACACACAACATGACTGTTGACTTAAATGTATGATAATATATTACATGCATATTAAACTTATTTTTAAATAAACAATTAACAGTAAACAAATGTATAACTCTAGTAGACTTTACAAATACCGAGATTCGTATGTAGTGTATATACCTACGCGCACACACCTTCGGTTCGGTATTCCTTACACACACTCTTTGGTACAGACAAACACACATGACGTTTCCGCCCCCTACTACCCTACCGTGTCTCCCACTTAAAGGGACTGAAAGTGTAATTTCATTTGACCCTCAATGTAAAGAAAGCAATGCCTTTGTGTATTCGTCGAGTACAGAGATTTTTCACATGCAGATAGCTGTGCTTGACGAAAACACAAAGGTTTTGAGGGTACCGTTGTAAATCGGCATTGCCCTCATTTAATGGGGGATCACTTGAAATAACATTTAAAGTCCCTTTATAATTTTAGAAGATGAATGTAGGTTTTAAATAAAGATTTCTTGTTTTAAAACGGTTAAAAACACTTGAAACACGAAAAAAAAACTTTTAATTTGTATGAATTATTTTTTACAAGCAGTTTGAATTACAGTTTGTGTAACTATAAAGCATTAAAAATTCTATACAATGTCGTCTTAGAATTCAATACATTGAAATTTTCGGATTTTCGGAAATTTTTTATTCACAAGTATCAGTTTAAATTGTTAAACAAAATTAATAAAAAAAATCATTAAAATATTTAAAATATCGTATTTTGGCAAAAATTTATACTTTTGGAGAAAAAAGTCGATTGAACAAGCGGTTGAACAAGCGGTTGAAATTTACAACGTAATTCAAAATAAGAAATGTGACTTTTTTTCTTCCTTTTGTTAAAAATTATTTTAACGTCTGAAATCATAATATTTAGGTACATATAATTTTACCCTCAACCGCTGGGTTTCACGTTTTTTACATTTATTAGTTTTGCTATGGAAATGTTTAAACAGCTAACGAGAAAAAATGTATATGAAATATTTGTGATTTCTATGGTCGAAGGTAAAAAACAAGCTAAAAAAATGTTTAAAATTGTTTAATTCCAGCGTTGAACCAAAAGTATGAATAAATATTATGATTTCAGAGGTTAAAATAATTTTTAACAAAAGGAAGAAAAAAAGTCACATTTCTTATTTAGAATTACGTTGTAAATTTCAACCGCTTAAAGACAAAACATTTATTTCAAAAATCATTTTTCATTTCTTATTCGAAACTGACAAGTGTCTAATTGTTGATTCTAAACTCTTAACAGCTCTTTCAACCCCTACCGTGGTTTTTTTTCTCCAAAAAACATATCATTGGTATTTCAGGAGGAATTCCACTGCATCCGTTCTCAGCTCATGGCGGGACAATATCAACGATTGATTAATTGATTGATTGATTGATTGATTGATTGGAAAAACTATATATTGTATCAATGTCCCATTGTCTATCATAAGGAAGAATATGATGAGGATCTCTAAAAGCTACAAATGCAGGATGTGCGAAGAAACAAACTAATTTTTGTTTAAAACAAGTTTTAAGTGGCCCAAAAATATTGTTTAAAAATATTAATTTTCTTGTAACTTTAAAGGAAATTTTTTTTTTTACTTTAAAAAGCGCATAAATATATTTTTTAAATATCAGTTTTTCTAAAATAAAGAAATATCATGTGAAAAAATATCATGAATAAACATCAATAAAAAGCATCACAATATGAATAATGTTAAAGCTTGAGAATCACAACAACCCAAACTGGACTAAACAAGTGATTTAAGAAATAAAATCTTGATATGTATGTTGTACCCCTAAAATGTTTATTGTATTATATATCTCTTGTATGATGTAAAATCTTGATATGTATGTTGTACCCCTAAAATGTTTATCTCTTGTATGATGTAAATAAAGGTAATTATTATCAATTGGAACTTTTTGGTTTTCCTGTTGTTTAAGAACTATTTATTTTTAATATTTTGTAAACTATTTATTTAGCCAATTTTACCCATAATTATCAAAAAGGCCCCTATTTTGTAAATTATTTATTTAGTCAATTTCACCCATAATTATCTAGTGTGCTCCTATTTTGTAAACTATTTATTTGGTCAATTTCACTCATAATTATCAAGTGGGCCCCTATTTTGTAAACTATTTATTTTGTCAATTTTACCCATAATTATCAAGTGGGTCCCTATTTTGAAAGTTGCTTACCAGATTCACAAGGGTACTCTTAACCCCTTTATCTGAGTAATGATGAGGAATGTATTGTCGGTTTTTTTTTTGGGGGGGGGAGGGGTAATATTGTAAGATCCTGATTATAAAATGGTTTCCTCTTCTGGAAAAATCATGAGTCATTATTTATAAAAAATATAAATTTTAAGAAAGAAAAACAAAACAAGAATATCTTTCAACATTTTTGGTCGGACGACGGTTAATAGGGTACTGTTGAGAATTATACATGTCACTTTAACACATTAATACAAACATAGATTACAAGCAGAAGAGCCCGGCGTTGCCTGTGGAAAAAAAATGGAAAAAAAAATATTTTTATAAATATTTTCGATTTTTTAGGCTATAACGCCCCACGGCCACCCATAGATGTCCACAAAAAATTTCAGCCCAATCGGTCTAGCCGTTCAGCCAGCTATAGACAACATAATTATATACGTCTTGTTTTCTTATGTACTGATGACAAAGTTTTATACCGCAGATTGCTGACAACGCATGAAAAATAATGTAAAGCAGATTTATTCGAAAATGGAAATTAATATTTTGGACATTATATAAGCCTATCTACTTATATATCCTAATGCATCTGTAAATATTTTATAATTTTAATAATTAATCTACCATATGCGCAACAAAATCAACAAATTCATCAAATTCATCACCTAACCGACCTTTCTTATAAACTTATTGTTTTTTTGCCCTTCAGGTCGAAAAACAGAAAACTTTCCATCCAAATTTTAGTATTACAAAGGAAAAATGAAAATTTAAAAGTTATTTGGGTAATGGGGTTTCGACTATAAGGAATGGTTTAGTGAATGTCCTAATCCAATTAATCCTTTTAGATCAGTACCAATTTAGGCTGATCATTAATCTCAGGTATCTGTCTGACAAGATACTACAAGATACAACTTAATTGCGAACCCCTGGTATATTTTTGCATTATAACCTTGATACTCTAAAACTGTTATTCAGATAAAAGAGTCCGGTTGCTTCATGCCCTTCTTTAAAGGGTGTTTTACTTGAAATTATACAAAGACTTCCAAAATGTTTAATTTAATCAAGAATGCATTTTCTTAATTGTTTTTGTATTTTTATCGAATGAAGATAGATTAATTCATTATAACTTCAATAATCGGACTATTGTTGAATTTTGAAAGGGTGTGTAAATTAAGGTAAAAAAGCTATCAACGTTCATTTGATCTATTATCAAAAAAATTACCTAAATAATAAATACTTCTTAAATAAACAAAAAAAAATATCAAAATATTCTACTCATAATACTCCCTTCGAGCTTCATAAACAAAATCAACAATTTTCATTAAGAATTAAGTAAATAAACAAGTTTTGTAAAAGTTTTTATTTATTCAGAATAATATAAAGCAACATAAAACTATGGAAAAGTAGAGAGTGTAAGAAAATCAGACTAGATAATGTGTCTGAAAAAAACAGACTAGTTTTCTGAGCTAAGATCAAGGAGTATAGAATAAAAGGGAGATACAACTGACACGGCCCGCGTTACCATATGATTATGCATGCTTTGCAAACGGGTACTCCATTTGTTTAAGAAATATTCAGAATAGGTTATTGTATACGCGGTAATTGTAAATCAGACAAATATTTTTTATACAAATGGAGTACCGTCTGCAAAGCATGTATACAATCATATGGTAGGGCGGGCCGCGTCAGTTGTATCTCCCTTCTATACCATACTCCTTGACTGATTGAAGATATATAATATATTAGATATGAGATTGACTTAAATATGAAAATTCTTTAATGAGACATGTCGACTAACTTAAACAATGCATGTTACCCTTTACACCTATGTTTTGGCTAAATTTACTCAAATATTATTGTTTTCTATTTCACTATTAACAATGTATTACTCAAAGGTTTTATATTTAGCGTTTATAATCGGGTGCGTAAATGTAGTATTGTTTGAAAATTAGGGTGTCCCATTTTGCAACAAAATATAGATTTATTGTCTCAAAAATAACTCTAAGGCTAATATTGTTGTCAGTTTTCACAGGATATTTTTTTTAACCTGGGAAGTAGTCGTGCAAGGCCCGTGCAGATCGCAAAAAATTCTACATAGCTCAAAAAAAATATTTCTTGAATTTATCATGTCATATATCATTTTCTTCTAAATTGTCTAAATCAATATGATGGAAATACGAATACTAAGTTTCGGTGTTAGGCATTTTCCCAAGGGCGACAACCTGTAAGTGACAATTTTCCAAGTGGTAACTTCCCAAAGGTTAGGTTAGGCCAGGCACCGCAGCCTTGTGGCTAGAATGGGCTGGGGACCGAGCACTGCGGCAAGAAAAGGCTAGAGGGTCGAGCGCTGCAGCTAGATAAGGCTGCCTGAGCGCTGCGTCTAGGACTTACTTGGGAAATTTCACAGATGGAAAGTTGCCATTTGAGAAAATACGGGTGGGAAGTTGCCGCTCAGGGAAAATCCTTTGGGAAAGTATCTAAGAACATCTAAGTTGCACTAATAAATTTTCCGATTATTAGAGGATTTTAGTACAAGTATAAATTGTTAGCACTGATCACATTTAACTAGCCCGGCATGATCACAGTTGGTGCATCGCAGAACTACCTAAATATAAATATATCAAGGTAATTAACCCAATTGTGACCAGTTTTGGTGGCTGATTGATTGTTAAAGGGACTGTAAAGGAAAAATTAAATGGGGTATAGGCTGAAAGCTAATCACTTTAGCTCTCGATCGCGGCCCATGAAAGTTATATCTGATGTTCCTNAAATGTGAAAAATGTGAAGTGAGGAATGAAAATTTTAAAAAATCTAAAATTGATAATAATTCTAACCAAAGAAAATGAGTTTTAACTATTGATAAAATTATAACGTTAAAAAATACTGAAAATTACAGAAGAAAATATCCTATCGAAAATTGATGAAAATTGTGTTGATACAGAAACAATATCTAAATATAAAAGAAAAAATAACAATCAAAATTAATTAATAAATTGAAAAAGACCTGTGAAAAGTTTCTAGATTTCTTGCTTCCATTACAGAGGGGACATGGTAGCATAGTGTATCCTCCACACTTACTGCACACTCGACCTATTCCCCCAGGATCCTAAAGAAAGAGATTTTAGATAAATCAACCTACTGAACACTCGACCTATTCCCCCAGGATCCTAAAGAAATAGATTATAATTAAACCAATCTACTGAACACTCGACCTATTCCCCCAGGATCCTAAAGAAAGAGATTATAATTAAACCAACCTACTGAACACTCGACCTATTCCCCCAGGATCCTAAAGAAATAGATTATAAATAAACCAACCTACAGAACACTCGAACAACTCCCCCAGGATCCCAGAGAAATAGATTATAAATAAACCAACCTACTGCATACTCGACCTATTCCCCCAAGATCCTAAAAAAATAAATAATAAATAAACCAACCTACAGAAAACTCGAACAATTCCCCCAGGATCCTAGAGAAATAGATTATAAATAAACCAACCTACTGCATACTCGATTTATTCCTCCAGGATCCTAAAGAAATAGATTATAAATAAACCAACCTACTGAACACTCAACCTATTCCCCCAGGATCCTAGAGAGAATTAGATTATGAATAAACAAACCTACTGTTAACTTGAATCCTAATGAGAAACACATTGTAAATAAACCGACCTATTGTATACACGACATATTACCTGTCCTAATCTAATTTAAGACTTGATAATAAATACAAAACAAGAAAATTGAACAATTGCAAAAAATGGTTAAATAGTAAGATCGCCGTGGAATTGCGCGTGCAAAGTACTCAAATACTCAATTAACATATGTCAAATCTTTACAAATTTTCACCCTGCAATTTGCATTTTAACAGCATAAAATACTCGTCACGTTGTTCAAATGTCGACTTTAAATTCCACGATATTATTGGTCTCTAGCTCTTTACGCTTTACCTGAAATTCCTTGACAATATGCTTCAGTTCTCCAGACTCATTCAATTTCTCAATATTCAGCGCATCCTGGAATTATCATCATCAACATCATCATCATCATCATCATCATCATCATCATCATCATCATCATCATCATCATCATCATCATCATCATCATCATCATCATCATCATCATCATCATCATCATCATCATCATCATCATCATCATCATCATCATCATCATCATCATCATCATCATCATCATCATCATCATCATCATCATCATCATCATCATCATCATCATCATCATCATCATCATCATCATCATCATCATCATCATCATCATCATCATCATCATCATCATCATCATCATCATCATCATCATCATCATCATCATCATCATCATCATCATCATCATCGTCATCATCATCATCATCATCATCATATCACCATTATCATCATGTGCAGTATCATTATCATCATCATCATGTGCGTTATCATTATCATCATTATCATGTGCATTATCATTATCATCATGTGCATTATCATTATCATCATCATCATGTGCATTATCATTATTATCATTATCATGCGCATTATCAACATATTAAATTCATTTATTGTTGTATATCAAGATCAATGATACTCGACAAAGTTCTGACATCTTTTTATTTTTGTTTTATTTAATTCAATTATTTCTTTTCAATTTTTCTGGAGATTTTTCTGCAATTAGCTAGTTTTTTGTCTAAATTGTTTCAAAAATTATTGTTCTTTGTTCCTACATATGTTCTGAGCTGAAAACTTTAGAATGGTGGATATTGAGATGAATGCTTGATCTTCTCTTTTTCTTAATATAGAGACTAAATTAAATCATGAACTTGTATCCTGAACGGTGTATAAAATTAAGAGTTGCATATAATATATGAAGGCGATAAATTTGAAATTTTGCGCGCCATTTCAGATTATATACAGAAACGGGAGGGACTCTCTCAATTAAAAAAACGGTTTTTGATTTTTCTCTTACTATATCCAAGAAAGAACAGGTTAAAAAGAAAATCAAAAGTGTGTCCTTTTGATACTCAGATTAAGTAATTAGGATTAAAGATATCTCTTTCTAAAGTTTTCAGCTCTGTTTAAATATCCTACAACCTGACGTCATTATAAAGTTAGTCCGCAACAGTGACCAGATTTACCAGCTAATTTTACAAGGTTTCCTAACTTCCTAACTTCCTAACCTTATAATTTCCTAACTTCCTAACCTTATAACTTCCTAACCTTCTAACTTCCTAACTTCCTAACCTTATAACTTCCTAACTTCCTAACTTTCTAACTTCCAAACTTCCTAACCTTCTAACTTCCTAACTTCCCGCCTTCTAACCTCCTAATTTCCTAACTTCCTAACTTCCTAGCCTTCTAACTTCCTAACTTCCTAACTTCCTAACCTTCTAACTTCCTAATGTTCTAACTTCCTGACTTCCTAACTTTCTAACTGTTTTAATTCCTATTTTTCTAACTTCTCAACTTTCTAACTTTCTATCATTTTAACTTTCTAACTTTCAAACATTCTAACTTTCTAAAATACTAAAATCCTAACTTTCCAACTTTCTAACTGCCTAATATCCTAACTTCTTGATTTTCAAACTTTCTGACTTCCTAACTTTCTAACTTCCTCACTTCATAACTTCATTACGTCCTACCTTCTTTACTTTCTAACTTCATAATTCTTAACATTCTGACTTAATTTTACCATGCGTATTTTTACAAACATTTTTTTGCTTTTTACTCTAAGAGTATTAATCCTATAATTACGCCTAGAAGGTGTTCATGAATGAATAATTACCCCTAGAATGTGTCCATGAATGAATAATTACCCCTAGAAGATGTCCATGAATCAATAATTACCCCTACAAGGTGTCCATGAATCAATAATTACCCCAAGAAGATGTCCATGAATCAATAATTACCCCTACAAGGTGTTCATGAATCAATAATTACCCCTAGAAGGTGTCCATGAATGAATAATTACCCCTAGAAGATATCCATGAATCAATAATTACCCCTAGAAGTTGTCCATGAATAAATAATTACCCCTAGAAGGTGTTCATGAATCAATAATTACCCCTAGAAGATGTCCATGAATCAATAATTACCCCTACAAGGTGTTCATGAATCAATAATTACCCCTAGAAGGTGTCAATGAATCAATAATTAACCCTAGAAGATGTTCATGAATCAATAATTACCCCTAGAAGGTGTCCATGAATCAATAATTACCCCTAGAAGATGTTCATGAATCAATAATTACCCCTAGAAGGTGTTCATGAATCAATAATTACCCCTAGTGTCCATGAATCAATAATTACCCCTAGCAGATGTACATGAATCAATAATTACCCCTAGAAGGTGTCTATGAATCAATAATTACCCCTAGAAGGTGTCCATGAATCAATAATTACCCCTAGAAGGTGTCCATGAATGAAAACTAAGGGTAGAGGAAGAGGAGGAGGGGTCCCCAGCCTGTCCATCAATTCTAGGAGATGTTCACGTGACATAAATACGTCTCTCTCTTCACATCTGCAAAAAGAAAACTTTTTTTAAAAATTTTAAAAATTTTATTTTTGGAAAGTTTAACTTAAAGTTAAATGTTTTTTAAAGATTGTGTCCACTGTCTACTTTTTTTTTTTACTTTTTTCGCAAAATACAAATTGTTTTTTAGAAGTGTTTTTCCAAATGACACTTCATGCAAAGATGTCAATGTCCGATCTAAAACAGAACCCTGAAAACCTTAATCTGAGTCGATAAGTATTTGACTCTAATAATTTCTCTGTTGTCACTTTGTCAGAGAAACCATCAGTAATAATAAACAGTTATGAAAACAAAAACATGGATAGGTGATTCATACTTGATCAGACAAAACGTTGTTAACCGGACATTACCATCTTTGCCCGGAGTTCCACTTGAAATTACGTATACAGTCCCTTTATGTTTTTTTTATAACCTTATCATCATATTTCGCAGAATTTTACAAACTGTAACACAACGGGTCCTGGTTCCTCTAAAATATAATTTTTATTAATTTTTTTAAAAAGTATATCTCAGTAACATTATTTAAAGAAAACCTAATAGAATAAATTATGATGTTCTACGTCAAAAATCATTATCTTGGTTATATGAATTGCGTTTTCCAAAAAATAATAATACAAAAAATCGTAGAGTTTTGGTTAATACTAATGACAAGATTCTAAAGTTTCAATTTTGATAGGAGTTCAAAAATTATTGAAAAGGTTTGTGAGTTTACTTTCATACTCGGATCTACTTTTGTTTACATTTCTCCCACAATATGCAGTACAATTCGAAGTTATCTAGTTTATATATTTTTATTAAATTTTACTCGGGGATTATATTAAAGGAACTGTTGACGTCATTCACAACAGCAAGCCTTCATCTCAATACAATACAATAAAGCTACGACTTTTTTTTAATAATGCATTTTTCAAATTACAAGTTTACAAAGTAAAAAGTGTTTATAGATATTTATTACCTAACAATTCCACAACTTGTAACGTAGACCACCAGTCTACCCTGCTCTTTTTCCAAAATATCCTGACCAAACAAGATACAATTTAAGAATTTTAAAATCAAGGTTTATGAAGATTAACATAGGACTAAAGCAACATGTTTAAAGGGGAACCATTACTTGAGCATAACTGATTAAGATATTTTCTAAATGGAAAAATGTCAAAATCTTACAATTCCCATCTTTGTCGCTGCTGTATAAATTCGCAAGCCACGATTGTATAGAACTATAATTCACGATTCAATAATTAATTTTCACATAGAAAAACTAGTATATCTCTTGCACAAACAATCCCTGTGATCATTGGACTATCAAAAATTATAACATAAGTCGTCTTACCCATACCTTTATGTTTCGGTCTGTATCAGTATATAAATATATACCTTTATGTTTCGGTCTGTATCAGTATATATATATACCTTGATATTTTGATCTAAAAGAAAGCTAGCAATGCCTGCTTTGACTAGATTCCGTTTTCCCCTAACCGTACCACGGACACTTCTAAACAAACAAAACAAAACTCAGAATTTTGATTTGAATTTAAACATTTCAAATTATTTGTTTACAGGCTAAGGTTTGAAAGCTGCAGATATATTTCCAATTACTCTGATGTATTTCGGAACATTTAAACTCTCATTCAAACTCTATATCTAGGGAATATTGAAATATTTACTACATTAAAGTTCAAATTCAAATAAACATTTAAACTATACAATAAATTCAATTTACGTTTTCAGCAGGCACAGAGATACTGTTAGAAATTAAAAACATTATGAAAGCAGAATGTAAATGATATCTCACAGAATTTTAACAAATTTTGTTACAAATGATGGACAAATTTTGTAATTAAATGTTTGACATTTCGTTATTTCGGGCATTCGATATTTAGTTCTAGCAGTGTTTGTTAGATTCGAGAAAGATAAATTGAATTAGATGTAATTTGGTTTATCCAATTAATTTCTCTAGAATAAAAAGATTTGTTAAAAACAATGTTAAAGGAAAAAACTTAATAAGGACCAATAACAATTACCATATTTTTTCAGAATCTCTTAAAAGCTTTGAAAATATAAAATGGAACTTTTTTTAAATGTTTATAAAAATTCTTTATTCAATTACAAAATGAAATAGCTCAGAAAGGTAAAATAACATTGGTATGATTTGATTTTTTTTTAAATATATGATATATTATGTTGATGTCACGAGAAAAATGTCTGTTTCTAAGATAGTTCTGATAGTACAGTAAGAACCAAAAACTGTGGAATAGGAAAACAATATATAAGCAATAATTATGTGTATTTTATGGTGTTACAAAGCAAATAGTTTTACTATAGTAACATATCTAATAACTTATTAACAATAATGGGTCTTTATTCACTGCACAGCTGCTATGTCTCATGTTCAATGGACTTTTTAAAGTAATAACTGGAGTGGCCTTCATATTCCAGAATATTATGATTATCACTGTAGTATATTATGATAGTCTTTTCACGTCAAAGTAAAGTAAAATGCACATAAGATTGTAATTTTATATGTTTTTATCATAACTCCATTAATTAAAGACCTATTGAGTAGATCAAAAATGTTTTGATATCATAATATATAACCAAATAAATTGTCTTTTCTTTACATGTGTATTAAGTAAGAACTAGAGGAGCAACGGAGTCACAAAGTTGTAACAGTAATGACAATTGAATTAGACCTTCTCCTCCTGGTTAGTTTACAGTTTTTTGAAAGTACTAGAACAAAAAACTAGAGTGTCATTTGAAACTACAACTATACAATCTTTTAAACTGAATCTTCATAGAATTTTTAATTTTTCCTTTTTAGGCATTCTATTGTTTTGTTTCTGAGATAATGTTAGATTTTACCTTTTAATTAACAAACAAAAAATCATTAATCATAGCTTAAAGCAAGTGTTAATGTTTCCGTAAAATATATGCAATAATTTGAAGTAATGACATTTTAGGATAATGGTAGACGCGAGGATGTTCTTTTAGGATAGTGATACATATCGAACAGACAGAATTGAAATAGAATTGAAATGTCGGATAGCGTTTTCGGATAGCGTTTCTGATTTAGGATAAAGAACACACAGATACGAAAAACATAGGATAATTCATGGCGTATATGGACATTTTTTTCACTATAAACGTGCAATTGTGTGACTTTTAATGAATAGAAATTTAAAGGATATTTGTAAAAAGAAATTTTTTTGTGTAAATGATAGGGTCTAAAAAAACTAAAATAGACCATTACTTTCTTTGTGACAAAAGCTTCAGATCTAAAAACTATATTTTTGAAAAACCCTTGCAAAAGGATTGCATAAACATGTGTCGGCATTTTCAACACTCCACTCCTGCACCTGATCAATAATGGAAAAGATATTGTCGTTTTTTAACTTTAAACTTTATAATCAGACAAATATGTTATGCGTGCCATGAATTGAAATCGGGCTTGAACATTATTTAATATTGAATATTTTGAATATTGAATATATTGAATATTGAATATATTGAATATTGAATATATTGAATATTGAATATATTGAATATTGAATATATTGAATATTGAATATATTGAATATTTATCTTGAGATTTATGAGAGGTTTAAATGCGTGAATCGTGTAAATAAATTTTATATAAAAAACTGAAACTTTATCAGTTACTTTGTGTTTGTGTATCCACCATCCTTCACACCCTGTATTTTGATTTATCTCTACATTAATCCCTCTGATCTCACCCTGCCACAGATCACTTGACAATCTCCTTCCTTCCAATCAACTCCTTACCTATCCAATTATGTTTAGTATATCGTTAACTAACTTAGGGCCAACCACTCAAAACAACCTACACTGGTTAGGCGGGTCCAAACTGCATAGTAAATTGTGATTGTTTTTGTAGTACCTCATGCTTTGTAGTTAAATACAAATATGATATGAAATAATATAAACATCTCCATTCAATAAATGGAGAGTCATTTTAAATAATAGATTCACCGACACCTATGAGGCTATGACCTAGGGTCAAACGACAAACGTTAAAAAACGCAACAAACGGTCAGACGACTTAGGGTGATACGACAAAGGGGGAAACGATATAGGGTCAAAAAGTGCGACAAAATGGCCAAAATTTCATTAAGACTATTTTCATTTAAACAAAATTTGATGTTCATTTTAACTAATAGCCACAGCACTCGGCACCCTAGCCTGTCCTAGCTGCAGCGCTCGGCTCAGAAATTGTCTGAACCTAGCCTAACCCTTAAATACATAAAAAATATTCATTTTGACCTTTTATCGTTTTACCGTTTGTCGCGTTTTTGACCGTTTGTCTACGGTCTTTAAAAACTGAAAAATCTGGACCTGATAGTTCCTCCGGCCTTTTCTTTATCCCAGGGGTTTCTAGGTTCTCCTCCCTCTTCTCCTCCCCCCTCCCAGGAATGCCCGTCTCTCAATCCTCCCAAAATGTGTTTCATTCCCTTTTTAGGACCCAGCTCCTCTTTAAAAACATCTCTATCCGGTGTTTCTGTTCCTCTTGTTCTCCTGCTCAAATGCCGCAAACGATTCTCAGAAAAATACTGCGCAAACTCGTTCTTGGATACCTGAACAGAGAATAAGTTATTTTGATTGTGTTACAGTATACTGTCAGTATATATAACATTTTGTTCGTGATAATGTATTTTTTATCTGATTTTGTAATTTGGAAGTGCGCGCGCCAAATACGCCGCCATTAAGAACGCTAAAAGTGCAATTTTACCAAAGATTTGAAAGCCCGACCCAAAAATATCTTAAAACCCCAAATCATAACTTTTTTGTAAATTTCTTAATTTCTAAAAATAATTTTTACCAGATATCTGGAAATTTCATCCCTTAAAATCCCTAATTAGTTGTATTTCTTTAAGTTTTGTTCACATTTCGGACACTCTGGTCGTACAACGTATCAGGAACAGTCTGGACCAATATAAAGTGTATCAGGAACTGGCTGGACCAATGTACATGGTACAGTGTATCAGGAACTCTCTGGACCACTGTACAGTGTATCAACTATCAAGAACTCTCTGGACCACTGTACAACGTATCAGGAACTGTCTGGACCACTGTACAGTGTATCAGGAACTCTCTGGACCATTGTACAGTGTATCAGAAACTCTCTAGACCACTGTACAGTGTATCAACTATCAAGAACTCTCTGGACCACTGTACAACGTATCAGGAACTCTCTGGATCATTGTACAGTGTATCAGGAACTCTCTGGACCACTGTACAGTGTATCAGGAACTCTCTGGACCACTGTACAGTGTATCAGGAACTCTCTGGACCACTGTACAGTGTATCAGAAACTCTCACTAGTCCAAAGTACAGTGTATAAGGAAAAACTCTTAATAATACTGTAAAAAAACTTCGAATGCTACCATACTTTTAACGAATCGAGAAGACCGCTTTTAGACAGAAAATTTCGTAATTTTATGAAATAAATATTATTAATTAAGTTCAAATTTTGTGGAATGATAATTTTAATTCTTTTATCCTATGTTAACCTTTAAATATCTTTACAAGCTGCACAAAAGTCACATATGGACAAAACAGCTTGATTAAATTTGACATTTAAACCAGAAAATAGAAAATGCTGAGGGGGGGGGGTCAAAGGAGGAGAGGCGGATTTTCCTGGTAATTTTATAATTTTTTAAAGATTTTGGTATCCGATTGGAGAATGTATGGAAAATTACGATTTTACAAGAATTTTAAGATAAAAAATCGAATGAATAACTTGTATTTTGAAGGATTTGATAATAACGTAATAACTGAAATGATAAATATGTTATGAAATAATAAATATGTTTTGACTTATGAAATGATAAATATGTTGTGTGTTACAGTTAAACCCTAAATAAGCCATACATCGAAAGAATTTATCAAATGTCGCCTTGGCAAATTGTCAATGGGTTTTAAACTATTTTACGTAAATCTCAGTATTTGCGAAAATAGATGAATTACCATGAATATGGGGGGAACAGTTTTAAATAGCTCCGTACAATCGCTTAATTAAAAACTAAATATCTGCAACATTTCATTATCAGAATGTGAAGAATACTACATTTGATGAATTCTTTCGATGAATGGCTTATTTAGGGTTTAACTGTAATAAATCTTTACTTAAATATTTTGTATCTTATCATTGAAGAATTGAAGACTTTAAAGTTAAAAGTAGACTTTTGTGAAATCAAAAACATAAGTTTTTAAAGAAGAGAGTAGGAATCAGCTTGAATAATTCAAAATCATTTCAAATAAAAACATTGAGAAATAAACAAACCCTGTACAATTTGAATTTAATATGTGCCACGTGTGTGTAAGAAGACAAGCATTTTTCCTATTTTACCATTATAAAAGTTATTAATGTTTGAGCAATTCTGATATTTATTGCAAAATTGAATACTTAATCTTAATTCACAATTTTTAAAAAATATTGCCTTTGACATATTTCTTTTTCTTCATAATTTATAAAAAAGCGATTAAACTTGTTCACTTGTTAAATTTTATAATTGATCAAATACTTTGATTTTTTAATGGCTGGTCATGTAAGTTGCCAGAAAAGGGCTTTGTCTGTTCAGCCGTTTTGACCATAGATAAATAAATAAACATTGATAGCTTATGTCCGCAAAATCACCAAGAATTGTACAGTCCGCGAACTCATACTTCTAGGGGTCAATGTGTACTTCAATGATAAGCGGGGTGGTTTGGTGTTTTAATGGATTTCATAATAGAGTGTAAAATAACTCCGGGAATGGAACTATTTGAACAACAATATTTCATTGAGCAATATATCATATTGACGAGAACTGAAGAAGGACATGAGAAAGAATAAAATAACTTAAATTTCTCTCTACAGAACTCATGTACACCAGAAGTACTCAATGACATAAGAACAGCCAATGTTCACAACCGACCTAGTTAATCTATATAATAGGAATATCTTTAAAACATCTCTGTACATTTATATCTTTCAAGATGAAAATGTCGTCTTGTGCGCAATCTATCTTTATCTATGGGTTTGACGCTTAAACAAACAGATGGCAAGCAAAATATATATAAACTATGTAGATAGTTTCTTATTTATCGAAAAGTGCAAAATATTTCTTTTCTGGTTTTCTATTTGATAAAAGCCAAGTAATTGAACAAATACTTAATCTTCTTCTTTTGTTAGAATCCGAAGAGAATAGTTCAATGATTTGCTTTTTTAGATGTTAAAGAGTTTTCAAGAATTGTAAAACCAACAAATTTGTAGATGTCTATTTTCATTCTGTTGATAAAACACTTGTAACTTGTTAAGTATTCCATATATATCATGGAATTTTTAAACTCGTCTTAGTTATTAAATCATAGAGGACGCTTGGTTTTCAAAATTATTGTAAATGTTCCATCTATTTCGTTCGTTTTCTAACTGAACGATCGTTTAATTGAATCGTTCGTCAAATAAAATTGATTGTTCAAAAGTTTTGAATAAAACGATTGCTTTTTTAAGTTTGATAAATAATCCTTTGTTCAGTATAAAACTAGTTTTTTTTCTCTGAACGATCTTATTCATTCGTAAAATTTATTTGAACGACATAAAAAATTTCGCTCGTTCACTCTATCTCTAAATTTGCCCCCTACCCTATGTTATCTGGTCAGGGGGGCAAATATGACATTTTTTATTAAGTTACAACTATCACTAAGTGGAAAGGTTGGGCCAGCGCAACACCAACCACACACACTTACATGATGATGAGAATAGACTACTAATTTATATACAGGGTGTCCCAAAAAACATGGGAATTCAGTGACGAATTCGATATCGTCTTTGTTTTAAATTAGCACCGTAATACCTAATTTCAAAAGCCATAATATTATTATGTCTGCTAGAGTTTATTTAATGAAAAGGGTAAAAGACTGCAAAGATGTGTCTATAATGTCTCCGCAAGATGAACAGTGAATACGGACAAGTTTACTCTGTTTGTATACTGTAATTTTCTTGTTTTACTAAGTACAACCGGTTGTAGTCAAAACATAAACAAACAAAATGTGAACATAGCAGACGAAACTCTTACAGATTACAGCTTTCTCAGTAGGTATCACTATACTNGGTTCTGGAGGGTTCTGGAGGGTTCTAGAGGGTACTAGAGGGTTCTGGATGGTTCTGGAGGGTTCTGGAGGGTTCTGGAGGGTTCTAGAGGGTACTAGAGGGTTCTGGATGGTTCTGGAGGGTTCTGGAGGGTTCTAGAGGGTACTAGAGGGTTCTGGATGGTTCTGGAGGGTTCTGGAGGGTTCTAGAGGGTTCTAGAGGGTTCTGGAGGGTTCTAGAGGGTTCTGGAGGGTTCTGGAGGGTTCTGGAGGGTTCTGGAGGGTACTAGAGGGTTCTGGAGGGTACTAGATGGTTCTGGAGGGTTCTAGAGGGTTCTAGAGGGTTCTGGAGGGTTCTAGAGGGTTCTGGAGGGTACTGGAGGGTTAACTAAAACAAGAATTGTCGAACTATTCTTTAAGAAGTTAATTATTGGTTTAGTACATACAATGGTTGTCTTTATATTAGGATTTGTCGACAATAATGAATCATTTAAAATAAATCCTCATGCTTTTTTTCTTATTTTGATTTAATATTTTTATGATAGTTGGATAAGAAATTTTAAAAGTTACGTTAGTATCATTCAAAAAAAGTTTTTCCTACAAAATCTTTCATGGTTAATGATTCAGAAAAAATATTTCATATTTTAATCCCCCCCCCCTCTCCTCTATCTAGCTCCTAGCTCGATGAAACAATGAAAAGTTCATCATTAGTGCACGTTACGCCGTATTTAAATTTCTCCCAAGTCCAAAATAAAGCTGCAGTCGACGCAAAAATACACTGTTGCGTAAATACGTCATTGCGTCAGATCGTATCTTTAGATTTGAGATTTCAGTGTTAATCCAAAACATTTTGTCTTTCAAAGATATGAGTGCACGTTAAACATAGTTCTAATTAGGGCTGGGCAACGTTCCGTTAACGAAACGGAGCTTTTCGAAAATTAACGGAAGAGTCCGTTAACGAACGGCAAAAACAGTTAATTTTAAAATCGTTAACGCAACGGATTAGCCGTTTATGAAAAAAATTAACGGTTAATATTGTTAACAAAAAAGCTAAAACGTTAAATTTCGTTATTTTCTGATTAAAATTGCATGAAATTTTAAAAAAAAAATTAGATTTTAAGCGTTTTGACGTTCTTAAATGTCGTCTTCTGTGTTTATAAATTGTTAACGAAATTTGTTTCAGCATTAACGCCGTTAATACTGTATTATACCGTTTTTAAATCTCAACAAAATATTCTTTGCTGTTAACGCAGTTTACACTGTAATATTTTATTAACGCTGTTAATAAAATTGAGATCGTTAACTAACGTTAATTTTTAAAAAACGGAAAATGCCGTTAACGAAAGGAATGTTCTTTTCTTCCCTTTAAAATTAACGGCTAACTGAAATTTTTATTTTTTAGCAGTTGGAACTAACCATTAACAAAACGGCTAAAAACTTGGACCATGCCCAGCCCTAGTTCTGATAAGATCATTATAGCGTTAGGTAAGAAATCTAAATTAAAAATGTTTACTTTAGAAATTCATAGCGCCACAACCTGTGCTTTGTTTTCTCATTTCTCATTTCAAGCGTGTTTCTATTATCTTGATTTATCGAGAAAATAAAAAGACTGGCGAAACTAACCAAGTCAACTAAGAGATCGGCTACACTCTATCATTGCTCCTTGCTAACTTGGGCATGAAGGGAGAATCGGGTTTCAATCGTATTCTGATTAATTACGCCAATTAAAAAGGTATCAGCTTTGTTTATAATTAATAAAATGATCTTACGTGCCACAACCTATGCTTTGTTTTCTCATTTGTCGAAACTAACTAAGGTCGGTTTAACTCTCTTATTGCTCCATTGCTAACTTTTGAAAGTTAAATCAGCCCATTCAAAAGGTACCAGCTTTGCTTATAATTGATAAATCCTACCTTTTGTTTCTTGAGAGTTGAAACATCAATCCTTGAAAACTCTCTGGGGTTCATTTTCTTCTCGTGTTTACTTTCATGTTCTTTATTCAGAAACCAGTTCACACTATCCTCAAACTCTGCCATTAGTCGCCGATCTGGTCTTGTATCCGCCATTCCGCCATCAACCCTCCGTCTACTCTTCTCCGCCGGTAGATTCCGCTGCTCACCTTTTCCTTCCTCTCTTTCATTCTGGATTTGTACTCTTTTTGGTTCTCTGTGGGTCCATGAATCCTCCTCCCCTGAGTTTGAGAAAACCAGGGATGTATAAAGCAAGGATGGCAAGGGAGGAGGGGTCGGAACAACACCAAAACCTGAAAATGAATAAAAAATAAATTATTGTGTTACTAGTATTATTAATGATTATTTGATACATCATAGGGTGAAAAACTAAGGATTACACTTTATGGATAACCTTAAACTCATTAAATATGATAATCTATTGATTAAAAGTAATGTTTCCTGTTTTAATACTACAACCTGATTGATTTGCATATAAAAGTAACACGTTTATGAGTGAATGGATTTTTTTTTTAAATTCCGCACAGTTGTCTCGTTCATTGTGAGTAACTCTGAACGACTGAACTACTATGGATGAGGCTTTAAAGACGACTGTACGGAATTTATTTAGTTTATTTTCTTTCATCCCTGACACAGCCCAGGTGACTTGTTTTTATCTTTTCAAGATCATTAAATATACACTTTAAAAAGCTATAAAAAAGATCAAATCCAAACTTTGTAATATTTAAAGAGTTTAGAACGTCTAAAAAGTCTCATCTTTTGTGGGTATGTTTTGGACGCTTTAAAGGGAGTGACCGGCAATGTGTGGTGGTTGATCTGAGATTGCAGTATTGTAGAGAAATTTTGTAGGACTCATTTGAGACATATAAAACGTTTTGACGATCTATAATTACTAAGATTAAGCGCAAAGTCCAACAGTTCAACCACCATACATTGCCGGCCAATCCCTTTAAGGGGTTTAAATTTCTTACTTATTTTAATATTTAAAAATTCAGAAATAAATTAAATTGTGCTGAAATACCAAAGGACAAATTAAAAATATGTAAATTTTCTTTAAATATTTGTGTGTAAAAAGAGCTTAAAAATTCTTTCCAAAAAAGATATAAAGGAAGGAAAAGTCAGGCATAATAGTAAAAAAGCACAAAACAATACTTTATAGAGTGCTGCATAAAATGTTGATAAGGGTTAATTCTTTTTGATTTCACATTTTATTTTTATTCGTTTTAAACTAAAAATATAAACTCTTGTTTTCTACATCAGAAACTAATAATCATTTAAATTGTAAACTTTTTCACGTTTTATTGTTTTAAAATCCTTGTTTTTTTTTACATCGTTGTGCGTGAGAATAATTAAAGAACGTGTCTAATTTTATCTATTCTTAATATTATAGTTGAAGTTTACTCGGAGATAGTTAGACATACAGTGATAACTGGAAAACTCTGGAATAGGAAATCTAGTTTTAAACTCAAGTTAAGACCTTAAAAACTCCAATGAGCATGAGACACAGCAAGTGTGCAATGTAAACAGACACATTTCACTAAATTAGGTATTTAATAACTTACTAGTAAAGCTATTTGCTTTGTAACATCATCAAATTCACACTTACTTCAATGTCGTCTTCCTATTCTACAGTTTTCTAGTTATCTGTGTATAATTAGAAAGCAAAATGAAAATAGATTTTTAAAACAAATTATGAAGTAAAATGTATTTTAGAGCCAGAAATGCATTATTAATTATCAGAAAAAAAATCTTTCTGAATCCGAATAAGTATGATCTTCTCATTTTTGATATTCAAAAAAATGTTAAAACACTGCCACACAGCTCCACTATAAACAGAAAGAGAAGGTAAATCTTATGCTACATTGTGACCTCGTAGCTCATTTTACGTAAAAGTATAACAAAAACAAATCTATCCAATTACATAATAGAAATTAAAAACTTAAAAAAAAAAGAATTAATGATTGAAAATATGTAAGACTTCAATATTTCATGCAATTCACTTTAGTTTGACGTGGAGTCCTCTATATTTTGATTTAAACATCGAACTCATCGAACTATCAAATGCAATGCGAAAGTTTTGTTTGAACTCGTGAACAGAATCTTATGAATATCTTACAATATTTTATATCTTTAACATTATGTTCTGTTTGACTCTTTGCACGAAAGTCACAGGGAAAAAGTTTATGGAAAACAAATTCGAGATTAAAATGAAATAAAGTCCTGAGTTTTAGATTCCTGGGATTTTTTTCCAGGAAAATAAAACGGTAAAACTTCTTTACAGGACTTTCTAATAAAATAATCACACTCTATGTTCGAAACTTTATATTTATTATAATATGAATTATTTAATTTAATTAAAAGATATTTATATTTCAGGTTGATTGAGCAAAGTTTACTTTGTTTTCTTGTTTAGGACATAGCTACGCACCGATGTGCAACGTCTATTTTTGATATATTGCAATTTTGCAAAAACTAAAATTACATTGAAACAAAATTATTGAAAATTATGCAATCAAATCTAATAACTTGAAACAATAAACCCAGTAGAAAATAGTATTTTTATTTTGAACTGATTACTGGCTTTAAATCAAGGGACCGAATTTGATAAATTTGAGCTGCGTCGCTGATCTATAAACCTACTGTCGGTTCAAATTTAAGCCATCGATTCAAATTTAAAGATTCGGGAAGGATTTGAATCCGTAAGTTGAATTAAAGCCAGCGGAAGGCAGTTCAAATTCAGTAAATTCGGATTGCAAATGATTTGACTATTACAGTTTAAGACGAGTTATCAAATTAATTTCTTAAGTTCGTTATACAAGTATAACCAGATAACATTGGAACAGGAAGACGACATTATAGCAATAATCAAGCGAATTTGAAGTTGTTACAAAGCATATAGTTTTGCTAAACACTTATTAAATCACTAATTTAGTGAAATGTGTCTGTTTACACTACACATCATCATGCTCATTGGACTTTAAAAAATTATAATTTGATTCTAAAAGTCGTCTTTCTATTTCCGAGTTTTCTGGTTATCACTGCAGTACCAAATATTCCAACCTGAATTTCCTAGTTCAAAGTTTTCATAGATTGACTCCGGATGCTTCTCCAGGTCTGAATCTGAGTCTGAGTCAAGATTTAATCTGGACATAGGTTCACAGTCACTCACTAAACCTAGATAAAGAAGCTGTCCTAAGGGGCAAGATCGGGAAACAAATATTAAAGAGCAAGATCAGAATTTAAATATTTAAGGTCAAAGAAAAAATGAAAGTTAAGAGATAGAAAACAAATATTAAAGTCAAGAGATTGAAAACAAATATTAAAGTTGAGAGATAGAAAACAAATATTAAAGTTAAGAGATAGAAAACAAATATTAAAGTTGACAGATAGAAAACAAATATTAAAGTTAAGAGATAGAAAACAAATATTAAAGTTAAAGGATAGAAAACAAATATTAAAGTTGAGAGATAGAAAACAAATATTAAAGTTAAAGGATAGAAAACAAATATTTAAGTTATGGGATAGAAAACAGATATTTAAGTTAAGGGATAGAAAACAAATATTAAAGTTAAGAGATAGAAAACAAATATTTAAGTTATGGGATAGAAAACAGATATTTAAGTTATGGGATAGAAAACAAATATGAAAGTTAAGAGATAGAAAACAAAAATTAAAGTTAAGGGATAGAAAACAAATATTAAAGTTAAGGGATAGAAAACAAATATTAAAGTTAAGGGATAGAAAACAGATATTTAAGTTATGGGATAGAAAACAAATATCAAAGTTAAGAGATAGAAAACAAATATTTAAGTTGAGAGATAGAAAACAAATATGAAAGTTAAGAGATAGAAAACAAAAATTAAAGTTAAGGGATAGAAAACAAATATTAAAGTTAAGGGATAGAAAACAGATATTTAAGTTAAGGGATAGAAAACAAATATTAAAGTTAAGAGATAGAAAACAAATATTTAAGTTGAGAGATAGAAAACAAATAT